TGAATGTGAGACTTAAACCTAAGTAGAGTTTTGTATGGATTTTACAGAGCATAATTATGACCTGACCATGTAAAAGTAGTGGTGACTTGTTAGGTGTCTATACATAAATGATATTAATTTGACAGCAGACAAGAAACTAAACAAGTATAATCAAAATGAACAAAAGGAGTTCAGATTATGATTTTAGTAAAAACAGGTTTAAAGTGAGTTTCATACTTTAACAAAGATGTAGAAATTTAGGAATCCGAATTTTCCAGGGTTCCCATGTCCTACAAATCCATAGGTGAAGTAGTTAAAATCCCATTTCTCTTCCTTGAAGACACATTTCAGTCAGGATATAAGATTTGTTGGTTTGATACACAAATTTCAAACAGGATTACAAATATTTAGTCTTTTTATTTATTTATTTCAAAGTCCCTGGCAGGCAAATCAGCTATTCTCCTCTAATGCTGAGGTGTTTAGGTATCATCCTCTATGCTAAAAAAAAAAAAAGCCTAAGCATGGAACACTTGCTTCTGGGAAAGTTTAGCCTTCATTCCTAGAGAAGTAGAGATAGTGGCAACTATACTGTACTGCTAATGCGTGAGCATTTTAAATTTCATCCACCAACTGCCAGATTGTCTAGCTGAGTTCTTTTCAAGGACAAGTTGACATATTAATCTTAATTTCACCACAACTCTAATATAAATTCAGGGTTCATTCTCAATCTGTTCAAAGTACTTCTACCGGGATGATATGTCAATATTGTCATTCTGCAATGATAAAAGTATTAAAATCAGTTTTCTTTGTTTACAGAGGAGAAAAGATCAGTTACACCTAGGAACCTGTAAAGTTCTGCAGAGCTTTTCAAAAGAGAAGGAAAAAAAAAATTATCAAATCAAGCTTCCCAAATAGAAAATCATGGAAATAATTAAGACCAAGAGTGCCTGTGGAATTTCAAAAGCTATGGCACTGATGTGGCAGCCTATGTAGCAGCACAGATTTACAGTGTACTCAAGAATCCACACAGGCCACAGAGCTGCAAAAATCTGGAAACATTTCAGTTTTTAGTAATCAAGTTGCCTTGATTTTAACTTTGCTTACTCTTTTATGGGCTCCAGTTAAATCCTTGCGACATATTCCCAAGAGTAAAGATAAGAGCAAGTCAAGACTCATAAAAAGGTTCTTGTAGTGTTACATAGTTACCATCCTCATTAAAATAAGATGGACTTTAACTCAAGAAACCAGGAAGGGCAGGAGCCTATTCCTTGTCAGTACAATAAACAAACCACTTCCCTCCAGAGATAAAAACCTCCATTCAGCTTTCGTGGTCTGTTTCAAACCAGTCTTCCTTATTAGTCTKCCACCAATAAAAGCAAGATTGGTTCTTTGCTTCAAGTTATGCACTAACATCTGCTCAAAGACACTATGGTCACTGTACAGTACACTGGGCTTCCCTTTTATTATRTATTTCCTAGACTTTTCCATGAAAGCTGCTATCAGCTTGCAAGAGTAGTTTTGTTCCACTTGGGTCTGATATTTTCATGCTTCCCTTAAATGACTCTTCTTTATCCAATTTTCACAGCTCTTTGCAATGCAAACAACTTAATTGCAAAGGCTCCTCTGTGTAAGGTAAGCTTAGATATATTGGTTATATATTCTAGCTATGTGCATTGGCTGTTCTCCTATCCCCCAAATACTGCATCTCTCYCTCTGAATGCACTTGCAACACATCCTGGTTCAAGTGTCCTGGGCCCATCCTCTCTCTTCCTCCAATTCAAAGCCAATGGAAGCTGAAGAGGCAGAGAGGGATGGTCACTCCTTACTAACAGAGCAACATTGTCAAACAACTTCTGCTAAGCCTTACCCTGAAATTAAGGAGCCTTTCATTTTACATAACTGACCACTTAAATCTAGAGAATGAAAAACTTCAACTACAAACCATTTCAAATATAGCTCAATATGAATTTTGAGAAGTGAAAYGATCAACTCCATAGTGAGGAAAAACCTAAATATTACCATGTATCTCTTTCAGATAAAGTTGCCACTTAAAGATTACATAAATTAAGTCTTGGAGGGAAAGGTACTTTGGCATAGTCACCACCAAGTATTAATTCTGATAGTCAAAGGCTGACTGGTTCCAAAAACACAACAGTCTAGTTCCTCCAATATGGAAGAACAAACCCCAAACCTCACATGCTGCTATTCAAGAACACAATCCATAAATTTCTGACAGACATAAATGAGAGAGTTAAATGAAGAGTCAAATACTCTTTCCAGATTACAAGGATCATTCTCRAAGACCATGTTCCTCAAAAGGGAACATTTGAGACTTAACAGGACTTAAAATATGAGGTTATGCCTACYGTGATCAGAAAAACAATATCAAGTTTCAAATTATATGTTCTTATTTAAGATGCTGAAGACTCTTCAGGAAAAACTTTAAGAGCAACTGGAGCAAAACAAAAATATCCCAAACAATCTCTTTGGCAACAGAGCTAGAAACCTGCCATAGGCCATCACCATTTCCTATCCAATTAACCAATGACAATATATAAATAACCAATTGGTTATTGACAAGTCATTAACCAATGCCCTTCAGCCGAACCAACTGTTAATGGGGATTCAGCATCTTCCTATGGGAAGGATGAATTATGGGCCTTGAACAGGAGTTAAGAGCTCTCCTCCAGTCACATGGAATTAATCCTAAACCAAGTTTCTAGCCTCAGACAGGCCTGAGTATCCACAACTCACTATGACTCAGTAATCTCAATATTGGAAGATGAAAAAAATCACCATAAACAGTAGATGCCTTCTCTGACCATTGTTGGTGCTTTGTAGAAGCAGATCATAAGCCTGAGATAAAAACATGGTGGTCTGAAAAAAGTTATGTCCAAATTAAGAAAATAAAGCAGAAGAACAAAAAAATCCACACAAGTAACACACAAGCAACAGCCAGAAATAACAGTTCAGCACTTGTACTTTTCCCTAGAGTCCTATAGGAACAGAGAAAGAGGACAGTCCAGTTTGGCTCTTCCTTGACTCTTCACTCCATTTTCCCCCCAGTTATTTTCCAAATGTGCCTCACTGCCTATTTTTGCTAGAGCAAATAAAAATGCAGCCTGAATGCCACACATTGATGTTGAAATTCATTGCAACCAGACAGAAAACACAGCTGAAGCATCTTCAGAGCCTTAACCAGACTCCGAATCTACCCTAAACTTGCAAATACAAAAGGCCATTTAATCAGAGATGGGATGCACTACAACATTTCTTTAGGCAAAGATTATGAGAACCAGAAAAAAGTACTTGTTCTGCTTCAGATTTTGAATAAGTTCCTCCTTGGCAAACAGACTACATTTCTGTTAAGAGTCTTATTCYGGCATATAGGTGGGAATCAGCGAAGAGCATCAACAGTCATGTATGCACAGCAAGAAGAGCAAGGCCCAAGAAAAACAGTGCCAGCAGTCACCTTATTGGTGCTGTCAGCGAGACAGTCACCTCCTGCAGCAACAGGAGGTCCCCTACGCTATCACTSCCCATCACTGTGGGTAGTCTGAGATTAGTGATCAATCTTCCACATGCAGCAGTAGTGACTATAGGAATTCATTTAGAAGACTGACAGCTTTCAAAAGTTCTTATATTACATTGTACATTACATTGCAGGGTACAGCTCTGGACAATTTCCTGTTTTATTGAGCACTAGCAGATAACCGCCAGAAAGCTACAGGCATGACAATGAGAACCTGTCAGCCTGACAAATACATTTATGGTCACCTCAAGAATTTTTCCTGGAAGGAAAAATGACACTTCAACCCACACACAACTTTCTTAGCAGTCTGCAAGACAAGAAGTCATCRTAATTATAATTCCAAAATCAGTTGTTTCTGCATAAGTAACATGGTCTGACTTGCTCAGAAACAAAAACTTGTGAAATGGACTTGGGTGATGCTCCTCCCCTTACCAGTGGAATAAGGAAGCTAAGGGCAGAGCTGTACTTGGAGAAACTAGAAATAGTTTAAATGATTTTGAACATTACATTCCAGAAGACTATTTCGTTATACTTAATGATGCCTTCTTTTTTCCCCATCTTTAAATTACTTAAGACTTCCTAAAAAGCAATAGTCTTTGTAATTGTTTCAAGTCTGATTAACAGTCATGAGTTTTTCCATACAGGAATTACTGAAAATAAATATTTAGAGTAATTTCTCAGATGCGACTTTCASCAGCAACTATAGAACTTAGGTCTTTTAAGAGATAAAATTTAAGTCTCATTTACCTTGAAGTATTTATGAGTTTGCAGCTAACAAGCCAATTAGCTAGCCAGCTAATTGGAGCCTATTCATTTTCACAATGGCTCATAGTGTAGTTAGTCTGACAGCTGGAAACAGTACCTCCTGTTCTACAACTGCTGTTAACTAACAAACATGAACAGATACAAGTGGCTTCAAACATTCTGCATCCTGAGTTTAGTCTTAAGCTCTCATTCTCATAAGCTCTCATTCTCTTGAGGCATTCATATTTAATTTCTATATTTGCACTATTTGTACAAATATTGTACAAATATTTGCAATATTTGTACTATTACTTATGTTTCTACTCATGTATTTTATAAAGAGAATGCCTACCCACACACACCCTAAGACCCAGTGCTGAGTGAACTCTTCAAGTCCTTGCGAAGAAATTGCCACAGTAAAACATGAAGCTAACATTTAGCATCAAGCAAAAGTGATATGACTATTTCCTTGACAGCACAGACACAAAAAGARACAAAAGGAAGTTCACCTACCAAAAGTAATAGGAGTAGCACTAGGACAAAAAACTTCAGGCCTAAGAGCTTCCATTATATGGTGTTGTTACTAAAGGGTCAATTTAATTCCAAGTTTTATTGCAGCTCTTAAGCTTAATACTTAACACTGAAGTAGGAAGTATTTAATATACTGAGCAGCTCAGTTTGCTCGTTCAGTTATTGACAAAAGAGTCAAAGTTAAGATATTGTCTTTGCCAAGCCATAGACTTACCCAATATGTAAATAGTCTTCTGATCACTTCTTTGACCAAGGGAATTGGTCACCTTACAGATGTAAGTCCCAGTGTAGTTGTAAGTCAATGGGCTGTTGAACTGCAGAGTGTTGTTGACAGAGAGCAATCCTTCAGGCCACTGCCCATCGAGTCTACAATAAAACGGATATATTTTAAGTAAGCGTCTTTACAACTAAAAACTAAATATATCTTATAGAAGGCAATATTTGTAGTAATCTAGAGATGGAACTTTTGATGAGCTTTTTAATATTCTCAAAGAATCCTTCTGGAGTATTTTCAGTGAACATTTAGTTCTTTAAGTTAAGGGATTTAGTTCCAATCTTCAGCACAACATTTGCTGACACTTGGGAGGTAAGTAGAAAATAAACTTTTGAAAGCATTGAAGAGTTTAAAAGAACTTGGCACAACTATCCACTCAAAGTGTACGAACCAGCAGTCAAGGTACAAAGTCTTTCTACCACCATCAGTATTATCTAGCCAGTTGAGTTATTGGGATAAAGAACACTTCTGCCAATATGAGGTTTTTATAGGGCAATAGGACTAGCATTTCACAGCAAGTGTTCAAGCAGTTCCTTCCCTCTCTGCCTGCCTCTTTTCTCCCTGGACCATTTTCCCTTCCAAATTAYAGAAACATAACTCAATTTGCTGCTTAGAACAAAGTGTGTGGTCCCAATGCTTCATGCCCTGAAGCATKCTGCATGTGCCTGCAGAACAACTGTGCAAAGTAGAGAAAGGAGAAGGGAAAGAGGCATCAAAACTACTTTAAGAGAGCTACCAAATGCAAAACACACATCAGGGTGTCTGCCTGTGTATATCATCACATCGTGGCAGACTCCAGTTTCCCTCACTTATGACTTCAACTTCAAACTTCTGCTAAATCACTCCTCAATCCTAAATTCAGCCATTTGAGAATCTCCTTGTAGTTTAAATTCTTAGGCACCTTACTCCCCCTTGSGCACTTATGAAGTCACATAATGATACTGCTCTGCCGCATCCTAWTTGGCTGCTGTGTGAAAACCTATGAGGTATCAACTCAAACACTTGACAACCTGATCTCTGTATCCTGGAATAATCCACTTTTYTTTTAAAGTAATAATTCAAATAAGAGCCTCCTGTGACATGTTCAATCATATTCTTAAATAGAAAAAAAAACAAACAAAAAGCCAAAAGAATATGAACATATAAACTCAAACAGTGTAAGCTCAGGAAGATGTTGCTACTTGAAGTAGATACAAGTGTAATGAACAACCTATGCTGTTCACATGTGTTGCAGATGGGTACTCATCTGCAACATAAAAGGTTTCTGACAAATACTTTTCCCGTGGTCCTCATGCTATAGCCAACGACACACCTGCATTTAGAGACTCCAATTACTTTGCTAATAATTATTGCTCAGAGCTCCTTCTGCTAAAACAACTTAATACCAGTGATTGAAATCAAAGATTCTGATTTTTTAAATATATATATGCATTAAATACACAATATTGCAAACCTTGGAGTGCTCTAATGTAATATTATATTAAAGGTTTCACATATTTTATATATTATTCATTTGGAAAGCTTTGTTTTTTTTTAATCCTAGTAACACACTAGGATTAGGAGCAATTCCTTGCTCCTAAGGAATAAAGAAGTCTTGGCTAATGGTTCTAAGATTCTATTTTAGTTTCAAATCAGTAAGATACTGAGCAAGTTGAACACAGGTTACTTAAGCACATTAAATTTTATTGTGAATAGGTTTTTTTTCCCCAGCCTCTAAAAGGTCTCCTCTCAGTAACACTACAGCTGTTTAGATGGGTTTTGCTCAGTAAAGCAAAAGGTAAATTTTATTCTACAGAATGCTAAGTATAGAATGCCTTGTGTCGCTCTCTTGCACTAAATTTAACAGCTTAATATTAAGCTAATAGCTTAAACTAACCATTTAAACTTTACACTGAATTTAAACTAAGCATTAGGTGGGAATGGCAGCCTACCATGCCACACAGGTAATACCATTCATTGTACAAAGTCTTCTTTAGTGCAGTTGTACCATTCTGATTGCAGTTAGCTGCAATACTAACTCAAGACTTGCACGGTTACTTTTAGGTCCAAAGCAGTTCAACAGAAAAACAAAAACGTATTAATTGTCCTCAGGCAACTCCAAACTTACTGCAGCTTCAAAGCACATTTGACTTAGTGTTCCTATACACTAAGTTATATCTGCCATTGGGAAGGAAAGAAATACAATGCAGATTCAGAACAGTAAATACCCCCATGCTTTAATGGCATAAGCATTATAACAGAACTACATTTAAGTTACCCTYCTGAAAATTGTTTTCTTGGTTTCAACTGTCACTAACTCAATTTAAAGCAGCTCCTTATTTTCCTTTTTCCCCCTCCCCTTTTACAAAACAGTGTCTTTCTCTTTCCAAAAACACATCCCAAAAGCCAAGCAGTACATCTCAAAGTAGGGCCATCCAGTCCCTCTCTTCGTAACATACAGCTGCTACGTAAGAAATACTTCCTATTTCCCTCTCATGTACAGTCAAACTGAAGTTTGCAGCAAGCAAGGAAAATGCTGCATCTATTCCTCTTGGCAACTACTGGAGGACTTGAAGAAAAAGAAAACACACAAGAGACCCATTAACCTTAAGGAAGGCTAATGTCCATAATCACTCTGTAGTATAGGCCACCTCAACTTCAGATTCCAAATCTTAGAGAGCAGATGTGAAACTCTTTTCAAGTGTTTGCAACCAACTTTTAAGTAATAAGACAGAACTGAAGAATTGCTGGATCTCTACTAGACTGAGCTTTGGATGATCTGTTGCAATATTTAGGTTGAACAAAAGTAAAAACTAAAATGATTTTATCCTAAAAGTAATGACAAAGTGTCCAAACTTGTACATTTAAAGTTTTTCCACCCATTCATATCACACACACACCCCTTCCTTTTTGTAGGAGTCTGAATTGCATCACTACCACCCAACTCACACATTCCTTGTTTTCAAACCAGGTATTCTATAAACAAAGAGATACCATTCACAGCACTGGAATCAAGTAYCAAGTCCCTTTTTATAAATATTTACCTGGTCCACACAAGTTCCACAGGTAAAGGATTTGCATCAGCATTACATTTGAGTTGAACATTTTCTCTTCCAATGAACCAGTTTCCATCATAGCCAGTTACGGAAACTTCTGGCGCATCTACCAAGAAAAGATTTCTTCTATCAATAATGACAACGTTTTCTTTAAACTAAGACTGTTCAACCGTCAGTTTAATGGTGCAGATGACATTTGTCTCATTTCTTAAAATGACACACAAACCAAAACCGACTTCTAAGCTACAGCAAAGCACACAGCAGTAGATTCTGTTAGACACAGTAACTTATTGAAAATACCCAGCGAAATATTGACATCAGCACACATACTTATTTGGGAAAAATGAAAGCTTTTGGAAGACGGTTGGTTTAATGTCCTTTCAAAATGGAGAAGGGAAGGTAGAAATATTTTTCAGTAACAAGATAAAGGCAGATAAGAAAGTGTTCAGAGAAGCCAGATAATTAACAAAGGAAAGAGGTCACAAATGCAGGCTGYAAATTGATAATTAAGAGCAACTGGTATCATCAAATGGGACTTCGTCGTCACAGACATAAAAAGCCACCTACTTCAGGTATGTAGGAGAAATTTGGTCACCTATCTCCCATAACATACAGAGACCAGTATGATTCAGTATTAATCCTGTGCAGTAAGAGCTTATGAGGGTTGCAGTACAAGTTCTGAGCTTAAGCAAAGAATGAGAGATGACTTGAGCATTAAGACTTCGACACCTTGGCTTCTCATTTGTTGCTCAGTTATTTACTACACAATTGTGTGGCAAAGCTTAGCTGAGCACTGGCGCTCAGGTATGAGTACCCTGCTCTGCTCTCTTTTTGAAGTTGCCAAAAATCCGCCCTTTTATTCACTGTTCAGGGCAACAGTGGGAACAACCATATCTATTCCTGAATCAGCTTCACTTAGATCTAGAACTTCAGTGTAGTATCTTACAAATCATTACAGTATAAATCTTACATCCAAATGATTTCAGTTGTGCAAAGAAAAACCACAGTTATGCACCCAATGCAATAACCACATTCTCATCTTTAGAAGACAAGTAGTATAAACGTCTAAAAGAGTGAGACTCCCCCAAAGAAGTTGTCTCAAGACCTAAGCAGCATCAGTCACCTTAAAAAAGGTGAAGGTCAAGTATGACACCCAAGTCTGTCTTGGTTGAAAGAGATGACCTCTCAGAAACTCAACAAAACTGCAGGAGGCTTGGTCAAACAAAAATAGTGAGGTTTATGCTATACAGGCATTACTTTTTTTTTTTTTTTTTTTTTAAAGAAAATGGATTCACAGACTAAGCGTCAGGATACTTTAAAGCTGCACACAACTAAAATGAGTACCAAAGGAAACACTTGAAAATGGTTCATTTTGGTTGCATAACCATTAATTAAAAATGGATCACATGCCTAAAGGTTATTYGTATTAAGTCATTTTAGATCAGCAGAGTTACAAGACATCTAACTTATGCCCTGTAATGCCACAAAATTGTTACAGAAGCCTGGAGTAGCTATTCAGGTTTGAATTACACGAGAATCTGGGTCCTTGGGATTCAGACAACTCAGATTACCATTGTGTGTATATATATACACTCTCATTTCGTTATGGAAATTACAATGTGAACAAGTAATCTGAAAAATAACTTGAAAATATCTGAGGGATAAGTTCTCAAAAATGAATCTTAATTAGAATTCCTCTTTAATACTGCTGAAATGGTTTCAAAAGAACATCAGCTGACAATTTCAGGCTCTGTAAACAGTTTACATATCAATTGAGTGTGTTATTTTGCCTGTGAATTTGGAAAGCTGAATACAAACATGAGCAAGTTTACACAGAGACATTTCCTAAATTTAAAGCTAYGTTTACAGTATTTTAACTTGGTTAGATGATTGTATTTAACTTTAAATGCACAGTCCCTCGCTTCTATTTCTGAATAACCTATTACACGCTTTTTATAGCATTTTATTTTCCTTTAATTCCTCTGAAACAGTATGTGGCCATCTCATCCCATGAAGGCTACACCTAATAAACAGCATGGTTAAAATATGTAATGAGTAGTAGCTACCTTACAGAATACTTACACTGTATGTCCAAAACTTGAGAGTATCGTATCTCCTTTGGCAAAGCCGGGTGCCTCACCACACACGTTACACGTCTTCCTCTTGCAAACCGTGTCGGGACAATGATGTACTGACTTACAACTGTCACCGTCTCATTTGGAAAGGACGTGGAGCTGGATTCCATTTCACCAAGACCTCCTTCCCAGTCAATCTCTGCAGCGGGTTTTCCAGTGGCTGCTGTACAAATTGCTGCTACTGTCTGATTCGCACCATCTATCAGAGGATTTGATCCTTTTGTTAAGCTCACAACAGGTTCAACTATCAGAGAGGAAGAAGAAAAAGTAGATTTTAACTCAAAACAATCCATATCCTCAAAACTATTATTTAGAACAACTGAACAAGAATAATCTAGCTGCGAAAGGTCAAGTTTATATCAAAGGTGGTAACGAAATTGCTTTCACTTGGTAGCACTGTTCACTTTTGTCCGCTGATTAAAGCTTAATGTTGTTCACATTTAATGCATCAACAGGGAACTCCCAGAGAGTTCAAAATGCCAACTACACTGCTCCAGTGCAGTGTCTGACAATATAGATAGCTTAAGATACTGGGCTGAAACTACACTTAAAAAAGGGGGTTAGATTCTGCTGCACTAAGCGTTAAATTCAATGCTTTCAGTTTGTGGCATTTCAAAGCTAGCAGTGGATGTTAAGTTTATTCTTCAGTTGGCCAGTGCAGCAGTGACAACTGGTGTCAAGCTGCCAGCATCCCAATCAGGAACCGCCAACTAACCTGYAGGAAAACACTGTGCGCGTGTGTATGCACAGGCCTACGTGCACACACGTTCTCAGTGTTTTGCTTGTGTTGCACTGCACACTGCAGTGCAGCTTCAAGGCATGTTTGCAGCTTCCCAAGTCACTATGTGCTTCAGGACTCAATGTAAGTTTGTGAAAAYTAGCCTTAAAACATACAGCCTGTTTTAGGTCAAAATTAAATATAAATGCTTTAGGATGACTAGCTGTTACATCGTCAATGGCACTGTGTTCATGTGGTGTATCTAAGCAAGAACTGAAAATATCATCAACCTTATTTCACAAAGGTTTTACAGTGTTGAAGTGGTCACAGCCTTTAGGGCAAAGTCCATCATCAAATTTATGCATATTTTAAATTCAGTTTGTTACTAGACATCTTTAAGATATTCCATCAGCAAAATGACACCTTCCCTTCAAAGACCATTGCCCCTCATTGTCTCCGTCATACCTGTTAGCAAACCAGCCTTCTGTTAATTCTGCTAATACCTTTGTATATGAAACTTTTTTTTTTTCCTCCTTCTTTCCCTCAAAAGCTATTCCCTTTAACCAAGTTTCCTAACCCCCATACTTCCATTACTGGATTTCAGACTACCTACTATGTGGAAAGGCAATACATTATACAACTGATGCAGGAGCTAAAACAAACAAAAACACTGAAGTCAAAGCTTTTTCTGTAGAAAGGACACTAAATGGACTTCCCTTTCTCCTCCCAACTATAAAGTATCACATAGCCTACAGAAACTGCACGTATTCCCTCATATTTTCACTAAGTAGCCTCCACAACTGATGGGGGAGAAAAGTTGAGCAGGCACACAGGTAGTGAGGAAAAAATGTGACAAAGAGGCAAGAATAAAGAACCTTTTTAAATAAACTCACACAATAAACAAAAAAGCAGCATATCTCCAAAAGCTGTCCTTATACTAACTACTCCTATAAGGTACATCTGCAGTGGACAGCAATCTAGCAGGGAAGGCTCTTTAAACAGTTCATGCATGAAGACTACTGTATTCTGTGAGTATTAGTTTGCCAGCAACATTCGCCAGACATGGGTCACAGCCTTAACTACAGAAGTGTTAGGATTRAAGAGGAAAATAAAACCATTTCTCCAAGGCACTTCAAATACCAAGCATCAGACCAGTGAAACCACAATACACTATTTTGAAGAAAAACTTGAATTCTTAYATGCCCTATTATTTTTTTCCCCCTAATATTAAGTTTTGGCTGGGAAAAAAAGGCACCAGGACACTTCTTATCTAAGGTCAAGCTTAAAGTTAAAAACTAGGCAAGGACATTCTTACAGGTCAGAGCAGCACGCTCCACAGTATTAGAAATGACAGCTACGAATGAATTCAAAAACATAAGCACTGCCTACTATCATCTACAGAAGTGAAAAAAATTTGACTCAGTACCACACTAAAGACTCAAGCAAAGCCTCAGCTAGAGAAAGGGCATTTTTTTTCCTTCAGGTTTCCTCTGAAATTGGTGTGACTGAACAGCTTCAACGGATAAAGTAATTCTCAGTCTTGGATTTCTCAAAAAGACAAAGTTGAGCTATTCAAAGCTACTCCAGTTCCAGAGTGCTTCTGGGGTTCAGTTTAAATTGAACATATGGCTTGGCCTTCACTGCTGCATGCTCTTGTAAACCCTGATTCCTGGACTAGAAACCACCTGACAGGGTGGCCAAATAGCTACTGAAGGCGCAAAGCAATGTCCTTTGGAAGACCTGGGTAGTTTCTGTTGTCCTTCCTTCACAGTTGCTTTATTCTAGCAGCTGAAGCAACAACTGAAACCCAGCTACTCATGCTACAGGTTTTGTAGTCATTTATTATCTTAAACTATGACTGAAGCACCACTTGAATGAATTTTCAGATTCAAGTGTATAATGGTACCTCCTAATCTCACCTCTCATATCAGCAAACAGGTACTTTTTCAGCTTGGAATAAAGATAACCCTAAGCTTTTATTTATTTTAGCAAGGGGCAAGGCAGGGAATGCAACTTCAAAGTATTAAAAGAGGCTACTTAAGCCATTCCATAGAAACACTATGCACTATCCAGGAAAACTGAAGGGGGGAGGTGGTGGGGGGAAAATCAAACCCCACCACACAGCACTTTGGGTAAGAGTCCCCAGACTGGGGAGGGAGAGAAAAAAAAAAAAAAGAAATCCCACAAAGATGCAGGAGTAGAGGGGACTGGCTTCCACAATGCATAAATAACAGGTCAGTGGCAAATTTTTTTTTTTTTCTAAATTAACACAGTAGATAGGAATGGGTATAGGCTATTAAAAGATTAGTGCACATGGGATGTCTTATTCACACATCTTAGAGCTCTAAGAGCCTGAAGCAACTTCACAGCATGAATTACCTTCCAGTTACATGAAGCAGCAGTGCTTCAAGTATGAGCTGAACCTGTAGCTAACTACTCTGGGAAAGTCTCACCCACCTTACACATCCAYGCTCCCTCATTTACCGATTCATGACCATTTCTTCACTGCCATTATAAGCCTTTTTACTCCTGCTTTACATTATGTTTACAAGGACTGCCAGAGACCTCTTTTTGTTGAGTCCTTTACAGAAGGACAACATAATAAACTACCCAGAAAAGAAAGAGTCTTGAGGTCCTAGGTTTCAGAAAGCTYCTACCTCCAGCTTTCAACATTAAAAGAAAAAGAGAACAGAAGCAGCTATCTTACATTTTCTTCCACCACTGCCCAGAAAGGCTAGAGGGGACTGGCATGATTACAACATAAACAGTGTTATTTTCCACTTACCATTAAATCCACTAGCTACCCCACCACAGCATGACACTGGGACTTGTCAGCCCTTTCTTCTTTCTAACTGACATATCCTTGAATAACCTTCTCTAAAGAATAGAATTCCTACTTTTTAGTTTGTCCCTCCCCCTCAAAACCATGACCTTACATTTCTGAAAAATAAAACTTATCCAGTCCTCTACATTAATCCTTTATTACTGACTTTTCCCTCCCCTAMACTAGTCATTTCACTAATTCAGCTCATAGTGGTACATGCTATCACCTTACTTCAGAACCACGTGCATATTACTCCAACCAGTATTTTTCCAACACAACTATTTTATCAGAATTCCCTGTCAGGATCTATTTTCCATACTGTTTGACAGGCATCTTCTTAATCTTAATTTCTTACTTTAAGAATTTCTATATTAGCATCTCTGGGATTTACTCAKACTGAGTAGATCTTCATCCATCAACTTTGTGACGCTTTTCTTTTTCATTAAAAAATAGGTTAATAGGTACCTTACCATGATACTGGTAAGAGTTGCAAGATGTACTTTATTAATATGCAGACGAACATGTCAGCTTGTTAAGACAGTAGCCATCAAACTGAATGACATCTGGAAATACTGAAAGCATTTGAGAAGGCAGTTAGGCAGGGTATGTAAACTCTGCTAGCTACCCCACCACACACCATTTCTTCTACCTTCAAACACCTTCAGCTGGTTTGCATCATTGTCCTCAGAAAGACAAAGAACCCCAAATGAAGAAGCTTGGCATACAAGTCTTCACATTTCCAGCTCCCTCATATTACAGAAGCTCGAAGGACCACAGTGTTAGACAATGCCAATACAGCAGTTTGTCCCTAAAAGCATCTCCAGTTTTTAACAAAATTTAACCTCTTCTAGAGAGAATTTCCTTTAGATTATAAAGCAGGAAGTTGAGTAAACTGGGAGTAAGGACAGTCAACCAATGTGGTAGGTCTMTGAAGCTTAAATACCTCAAGGGAGACTTTCCAAATATGCAATTTTATACAATTAATATGCTGCATCAGATGAAATATTTTATCCTGCAGTTGTGTTCTTCCCATGTTTGTCTTYAGTGTCTCTGCCTCACCGTGTACAAGCCTGTTACAGACAAAGCCAACTAGTACCTCACTGATAGCAATGCACAGCAGGAGTGGGGAAAACACGCACCACTGCTGGGACTGGAAACCATCAGCTCCTGGACATGAATTTCTCCTCACTTACAGGACAGGTTTTTAGAACTGTAGCAGAACAAACAGAATAAAGCTGATTTGAAGTTACGTCAGGTTTTACATTCTGAAAGGACATATTCCAYGCTTAAGATAGAGTTTAGCTTGTGGTTTGCTGATCTTAGGCCTGTAAGCTCACATATAATTCACTAATATACCTATTCTGAGAAGCTAACATTTTTCTACTCAAGTATAGATGTCAGTATAACAGTTTKTTTTGGTAAAAGGAAAGTGACCTTTTCTGAGGACAGAGAAAGCAGCTAAGTCAGACACAGTCCTACCCTGTTCTACATGCAAGTCAAGAAATGGCTACATAGGAGGGAAAGGCAAACAGTACTTAGAAAACAAGCCAAAGGAACAGAATAATGGAAGCAGACAAGTTCAAACACCACTTTTCTCCCTACTCCTCACYCCTGATCAGAACTACAGCTAATCTTCCCCTTTTGTAGCAGAAATATTCCCCTCAAACATGCAAGTTGGTTACTAGTTTTGGGGGTACAGGTGGAAGGAAGGCATTTCTATTAACTAGGTTTTGCAATTCAGAGGCTGACTGCTGATCACTGACAACCATCAGCAACTCCAGAAAAGCTCAAGGCTAGGATATGTCCAATAAATGCTCTTCTGCCTATTCCAACTGCAGGTTTTGATCACACGCAAGTCACCAAGCACACTGTTACCCTCCACATTGTTCTGTGTGATAGATTAAACATAGAGCACACATTTCTCTGCACTGTGTGTGGCCTTCTCAGCTCCTGCAAAAATCTAAAATCTGAGGAGGGTGACAGATGCAACTACTAAAATCCTAGCAAAAAAAATCCTAGGAAAAAAAATCCTAGGAAATGAGACTTACTGAAAGAGATGAGGGAAAGCAGTAAAACCAAGCCTCCCATTTCCCCTTCGTCTCAGGGAATCCCAGCAGCTGAGACTTGAATTCAAGGGAGTGCTACAGTAGTCACAGACATAACATCACTTGCAGTGTAGGTAGAAGATGGGTCATAAGGCTTCATGCTCTGTATCACATGGAACTTCTTGGGGAGAGCTTGTTTCCAACTGGAGTAACTTGCTTTGAGGTGTTTATTTTGCCCCACCTTGTGGTGAAATTCAGTTTACTGAGTGTGCTGCCCAGCCATAGGATTTAACTTACATGGTATTCTATTATCCAGGAAACAGGCAACAGTGAAAAACAAGAACCTAAACCACCCACTTRTTAACAAAGCTAGAATGACCAAGGACCACTTTGGCTGAATAAAATGCTACCTGACCACTCACAGATGGAGAACTTATTTATATTGATCTATAATTATTCTTAAAGAAAGAACAAGTCAACAAGTTTTAAAATCAAGAAAATCATTTTACTTCAGACTGCACTACTAAGTCTACTTGTGAGTTAGTAGTCCTTTATGGCAGCATTTCACCACAAAAAAAGTAAAACTCAACCAGTTTAAGGTTCTGCTTATCTTGAAATAAGAAACTTATTCTATATAAGTTTCATATTTGTACTATTCATAACCAGGGGGCTTAAATCCTCTCCTTTTTCTTCTCACAGTTCTCACTAGTGCACTGAATAGCTTTATTTAACACTCATACTGTGCAGACAATTCACACAGCTAGCCCAAAGCAGTTAAAGTTATTGTATTAACAGCATAATTATCAGGAAACCTAGACASGGTGGTGACTAACAGTATCTTTAGCAGCTTCTCAGCACACACATGCATCTCTAGTATCTGCATTGCCAAGCCCAAAATTTAAAATTGTGTGCAAAAATTTTTAGATAAGTATGATGTTTAAAGTGCTTGGGGTTTTTTGTTTTTAATTCAAGATAATCAAGGAGCAAGTTCCAAAGAAACAAGACCCTAAGCAAGTCTCTTCACTGAAGAAAGAGCATCAATAAGGCTGCTGAATACATCTTCCCACTGAAGATGTAAAGAGTAAAGGTTATAGAGTAAAATACATGAATAAATTTGCAGAATTTCATCAATAAGTTTGTGCTAGTCATCTAATCTCTTTATGAAGAAGTTGACTTACCTAGTACTGTTACAATTGTTGATGACTGTGCATTTCCAAGGGGAAAGGTGGCTGCCTTGCAAATATATTCTCCCGCATCAGAAAAGCTTACGTTTTTTAAGATGATGGTCGCATCAGTAAGAGAGTAATTTTTAAATGCCGCTCTTCCTTGGTATTCTCCTTGAATAGAAATTCCATATTCCGGATGGTGAACAGCAATAGTCCGTGAACTTTTACCATACATCTTCTCCCAAGACACTTGCGTAATTGTCTCATTTACATCAATTATGCATTTCAGTGCAACCTTCTTCCCCCAAACTGCCGTCACATGTGGATCAACAATTGGTCCAGCTAAGGCACCTAAAAAGAAAGCAATCATTAGTTGGGGCACAAGAACGTGAAGTCTTAAGCTAATCGCTGAAGACAATTTATTGTGAAGGCTTACGTTTCTGCAAATTAACTCCCACTTCCCTGTGAAAAGTCRTATTATTCATGTGACTCACAGCAGCGTGGAAATACATCAACCTTAAAGGTAGGCTCTGAGCAGCAACATCAGAGAGAGTTGAACCCCAACTGGGTCCACCAAGCTAGTGGCAGATCAACCATTCTTCACTGAAGACCACACTATGACGCAACTTCTACCAACAGGACCTGGTAGTTGTCTAACTGCTGCATCAAGACTTYGGAAATCTTAACAGGTATCAGTGCATTACAGGAGGGGGAAGAAAACAAGCAAACAACAACAAACCCATAACACACATGAGAGTTGCAGTCAGACTACCAATGCAGAGCCTCAGGTAAAAAAAATAAGATGGAAGTAGAAAAATTGCTATAATCTAAGAGTTAAGATTCCTAATAAAAATATCTAACAAGAAAGGCATAAATCAAACTATCACTACCCATGCCACTGAATAAAATACAAAGAGTAGCAACATATTACCCCATCTTAACAGTGATAGCCAACCTGAATCTGAATTCCATTCTAGCTTTTGTCCCTTCATCTCCAGGATGAGACAGTATCCCCGTACAAGGCAAGTCTTTCTGCTACACCACAGTGCAAAGTCTCCATGCTCTTCTTCCTTCTGCAAGACTAGACATGGTCACTGCCTGCTTAGGRCTTAATGCACTTCTGTTGTAGACCTATGATACTTTCCTTAGTAGTAACTATGGTCTGAACTCAAGTGTTTTAGATCAGCCTCTTTCAAGAGAAGAAATCCACTGGAGAACGCAGTTTTACTCCTACACAAAGTTCACTAAATTGTAGGTATGTTTCATTTCAGCTAAAACTGATGCTCTGGTACATTSAAATATCCATTTTCCTGGAGTAGTGTAAATTAGTATGATGAATAAGGTCTTACACCATACTGTATTTGTTTCTACTGAACAGGTTTCAGAGAAGCTATTTCATCTTGAGTTGACTGTCTTGAGTTGTTAAGCCACTATTCAAGCTGTTACCTAATAAACTAATCCAAGGAACTAGATCTCAGACTAAATCTTAGTCTTCCAAGTCACACTCGATGTCATTCAATTTAAGGCATTAACAACCTCTTTCAATTAAAAGTTCCAACAAAATGATGTGTTCAAAAAAAAAAAGAATTTGATAAGAGATGGATACTCTTACAAAAGGGTTGTTGAAAGCTTTCCACTTCCCACCCACTGATTTTTCAGTGTTCAAACCATAAGTCAATGAAGTCATGAAGTGATTTAGAGATTTGACTATAGATTTCTTCAGTATTAGATGCCTGACTAATACCAACAGAATGAAAACACCAAGTCGCACAAATCAAATACAGCCAGAACCTTATCTCTAGATTGATACACTAGTCTTCAAAACTACGTGACGAAGGGAAAACAATCATGTTAAACTCATTCTAGAATTTGTTTCAGTTGAAAAAAACCCCAATACTAGCAATCCATAAGTGAATAAAGAGCATTGCCTGCTCTTTTCACTCCTCTTCATCACATSCATACTGCTGGGACAGAGCCTGGACACAGAACAACTATCTGAACAGAGAGAATTTTGCATAATTTTGCATCTCTTCTCCCTCTCCCTCTTCCCCATATTCATTTATGTATATGGAGAAGTACTTTCAAAAAAGTCACTTCCTACCATATAAACTCAAAGACTTACAAATTACGTTGYTGTGCTAACCAATGAGGGAAAAAACACACACTTTCTTGTGTGAAATAAGAAATTTCAGGTATTTAATACTCACTTGTACTGAGTCTTCACAAAATRATCAGATATATTTAACTGCAAAAATTTTTATTAGGACAGAAAAACACTATGGAAATTTATCTAAAAGCTTCTCATACTTCTGGAAAGGTAGCTAGCTGAACAGAAAAGTCATTCTCATTAGAAGCATATACTTAATGTTTCATTTCCTTTTATCATTAGTTCATTACTGGGCTACTTTTAATAATTAAGAGGCTTTAGCTATGCCTAGACAATCAGAAAACATTTAGAAGTCTAATATGTAATCAGTTCACAACTATTCCTTTTGGGAAACATAGGAAATTGAAAATATTTCCACCAATAAAATACCTTCTAGCAGCTCATTTGCGCCGCAAGAACACTATTAYTTCTCACATGAATTGCTTGCATATTTCTGGTACTTTTTGTTGCTACTGTTTCAAGCTTAGGTATTGGAGCAAGCCAACCTCGCACGCACCTGCRGCTCTGTAACAGTAACTAGTTGCATCTTACTGTTCACTCTGCCTTTGTGGTAACAGAACTGGAGCCAACAGATCATTGGTCCAAATTAAACACATTAGTAAGCATGAAAAGACTGCCAGGAGAAGATGAAGTCCACTCATCTATATTAAATGCAAAATTACATATCTAACAATAAATATGGATGAGAGGAAAAAAGTACAAGCTTATTATTGCTACAGTAATACTAAACTACAGTAGGTTTTCAGGGCATGTCAAGTAGATATATGGAATTGGCCGAGTTGAACACAGACTCTAGAGGGCCTCCATAAACTACAAGGCAAGGCTTGATAAGGGTAAGGTAAAATGTAGTATCGCCCCTAACAAAAACAAAYCAACACACACTCTTTGAAGTGAATAAAGTAAAAGTTTTCCTTTTAAAGGAAGTCCTTTAACATTGAAAAATTTAATGTACGTAGGAAAAATCAAACTCAAAACACCCAGTTGTCAATAAGAAGGTTCTAAAAATGAAAAGTTGTGTTAAATACACTGCAATTAAAAGAGAGAGTCAACTGCAGGCTTAGACTAAGAAATGGAATCAAACTTGAGAGTTTCTATGCTGCCTCATAAAAAGAAGAAAAATAAACATATTTAAGTATTTGTATCTTTAACTCATAAGTATCTTTAACTCATAACCATGTGGAGTCTTACAGAGACTTTGCCAGTAAAAGTCACCAAATCTTACAAAGCCAAACAATTATGGCCTGATATTTCATACATTTGATAAGATTTTTCTCATCACTCTTCATGTTGCCTCATCTTTCAACCTCTAAAACAAAAATAGTCATCTTACCTACACAGATAGGGAATTCAGTGTGCCTGATAAGACATGCACTAATATAAAAAAAGTTTCCTTTAATAAAACTTTATCACTACTATCACTGGAAACACACACTACTACTCCTGAAGTTTCCTGTGAAACATCTTTTAGGCACTTAACTTGAAAGAAATGAAGTTTACTGTAACCACTAAGTTTCCTAACTCAGTAGGCTCCACCTGCACAGCCCACTTGCACTGGATACCTTTCCAAAAACAGAAGGTAGATAGTGGAGAACTCTCAGCCAGCTGTTTTCCAACTTACTTACAAGGCTACCAATTCTTGGCCTAATTTTAGCTTTTCACCAGAAATTTGAGGTTTAAGATCATGAATCGATCTCCTGAACTCCCATTCCCCCTCCCTCCCCCAGCATAAAGTTTACCTAACTTGAGAATGTCAAAACACCATTTTCAGGGAATCAGGAAAGAYGCGCTTTTCTTCAGAGAATAGTTTAGGTTGGACATGACCTCTGAAAAAAATCACCTGGTTCAAATACTGTTCAAGGAAGTCGTTTTGACAAGTTGCTTAGGATGCTAAGGACCTTTCCAGTCAAGTTACCATGTCCATGATTAGGATTCCACTGGAGACTGCATATACAGATTCCATACACTAAATCCTTTTTCAGGATTTTTGCAATACAACACTCAGGAGCAGCATAACAGCAAAGCTGTTGGAATACATCTGTGCACATTTTCAAACAGAATATTTTGCTGTGGCTTCAGAGGCTCGTACGCATTTATACACCTTAAAAATCAAGTGACTATATTTTGCATTTGTTCTGGAAACACCTCACAGCTCGACCACTCAGCATACTGATCATCAGAGCTACAAAAAGGCTCCTTTCTCTTACACCTCAAGCTCATTTAAACAAGTGATCTGAAAACTTTGTCTCACAGAATTTGAAGAACATATTCACTAATTAATATTATCAACGCAGTAGATAACATCTGAAGTCTACAATATGCTCCGAAATGCCTGCTATTTTGAATCGATCTTTTATCGGTAAGTACTGGAAGATGACAAACACCAAGACCATTTGAACAGTTTTGTTAGGTTGAATAGAGACTAGAAAGCAAGAGTCACAAGCTATGATTATGCATGAGATTAGAACACCGCCGCTTCTCTAGCAGAAAGCGGTGAAAATTACATAAAGGTCAAAGACTGTCGGACCTCTAATTTGAAGACACTAGCCACAAGAACTGGTTGGTTGAGGTTGCAGAGCAGTTCAGCCTCTTTGCAACTGTCTTGATCAAGTATCAACTGCAACTATCAACTATACTGAAGCAGGGGATTTATTCAAAATATCAAGCTTAAGACAGATAGCTTTRCAGCCAAGCTGTGTCAGAGTGCTTGCAAATTCCACAAAGCGTCCTCTGAAGCTCCATCCTCTCTTCCTAAAGACAGTGTTGACAACACATCAGGTACCACCTAGCCAGGGGCTGCTGTTAGAAAGACTTCCTCAAACTTCACAGCTGAGGGAAAGCACAGTCCATTATTTCCCTTTAACTTCTGCACCAATTTCTAGATATTTGATTACACAACACAAAAGCAACTTCCTGACTGACAACAGAACTGGATAAAATACTTGCGCTTCAATACAAACAAGTTACCATATGCTACACAAACCTCTGTGGATCCATAACAAACACTGTTTGGTTATSAACAACACTCCTGACATTTTCACCMTAAGCAAGGAAATAGCTTAAGSAGTATTTCACTCCAATGCAAGGGGAAGTCACAAGAAGATCTGGAAAATTCTGAGCACTACACTAACATAGTCAGAGCTCAACTCATATAAGCCATGCTAAAAAAAATCCACACCTTTGCACTTCAAGTCAGGAATGAATAAAGAAATATTGCTATTCTACTCAGGACGTGCTCTCTTCACACTAATTTGAGCTGCTGTTCTAGTTCCACTACGTCAAAATACAGCAGAAAATGTCCCTGCAGACTTGGCTTCTCACAATGCTCTACAGACCTCTGTAATTTCTTTGATGCTTGGTAGTTATTTAAGATATCAGAGGAAACCTAAAGTCATGACTCAGACTGAGTTGCCAAAGATACTTAACCAAATTTTAACAGTTCCAGCCTTACATTCAACTATTCACCTAGAGCACTGACAAAGCATCAGTAACTTGAAGCATCCTTTGGATTTCCATTGAAACCATTATTGTCCGTTTTACATGGTATTCCATTATAATCTATTACAACACATAATTATATTATAATATTGTGTGTACAATTCCCATGTTAACACATAGAAAATCATGTTTGCACTGATTCTAAGCATTCAGATGTTCACAAGACACATTGAACTAATAAGTGAAGACAGCTGCGTGTTCTTYGGCAATGAAGATTTCAGCCTCAGTTTAGCCCAACCTCCCAGTGCTTTTAAAGGGAACTTCAAAAAAAAAAAAAAAAATCACTTGAAACCCAGAAGAGTCACTAGTTCTGACAAACTGACATACAGAAGAGCAAGA